GTTATGCTGAGTGAAATAAGTCAATCAGAGAAAGATATGTATCATATGACCTCACTGATATGAGGAATTCTTAATCTCAGGAAACAAACTGAGAGTTGCTGGAGTGGTGGGGGGTGGGAGGGATGGGGTGGCTGGGTGACAGACATTGGGGAGGGTATGTGCTATGGTGAGTGCTGTGAATTGTGCAAGACTGTTGAATCACAGATCTGTACCTCTGAAGCAAATAATGCAATATATGTTAAGAAAAAAAAAGAAGAAGATAGCAGGATGGGAAAAATGAAGGGGGGGGAAATTGGAGGGGGAGACCAACCATGAGAGACGATGGACTCTGAAAAACAAACTGAGGGTTCTAGAGGGGAGGCGGGTGGGGGGATGGGTTAGCCTCGTGATGGGTATTAAAGAGGGCACGTTCTGTGTGGAGCACTGGGTGTTATGCACAAACAATGAATCATGGAACACTACATCCAAAACTAATGATGTAATGTATGGTGATTAACATAACAATAAAAAAATTAAAAAAAAAAGAAACTCGCCTAAAATCATGTAGTATATAAGTTAGCTTTTGCTACATCACAAACCACCCAACAACTTATGATTTAAAACAGCAAGCATTTATTTCTCACAATTTTGTGAGCTGGCTGGCCTGGCTCCATGGGGGTTGGAAGGCCAAGGTGCCTGGTATGTGGGAAGAGGAAGAGTTAGTTCAAGGTCAGCTGGGTGATGGAGACATGGCCACGAGTCTCTCATGATTCAGCAGGGCTTGTACAAGGTGGCTGAGTTCCAAAAGTAGCATGAGGGCAAACGGGGGCACTTTCCAAATCTAGCTTGCTATTCTCCCGTTGGCCAAACCAAGTCCCATGGCCAAGTCCAGCAGTATGGGAAGGGACCACCTCAGGGGTGGTACAGGGAGGGAGAATTATTGCTGCCATTTGCCCCAACAAAGAATGTACCATACATAGCTTGTAAGTGTCCAACTGGAGTTCAAAATCAAGTTTGTTAGATCTGAAAGTTCAAAACTATCTTGGGAGTTATCGCTCAGGGTCTGAGAGTCCAGAACACTCTACGCGTTGCCTAAACAAGTCCACAACATTTTGCATGCACACCTGCAACTGTTTTGCAAATGTATATAATAGTGCCATTAATAAACACAAATTATACCTCAATAAACACAGTTTTAAATGTTTGTTCTACTTCATTGCATGTTTTCTTCTTTAGATCCTCCAAGTATATTTGAGTTTCCTTTGCTTACTTTTTATCTTTATCACCTTCCTGCCAGTCTTTTGTATTATTTTCCTTATTTTTTTTGCATTATCTTCATTATTCTCCCTTTTACCCTTTATTTTCTTTTTCTCTGTTGTCTATACTCTCTTGTATTCTTTTTATTTCTGAAAGGCTTTTTTTCTTTTGCTAATTTTTTCCTGTGTCTGTTGGGATCATTGTTTTGTAACCATGTCTAGCTGAGTTCCGTGAATATTTCTGACCAGAAAATAGAATTACCTTTTTTTTTTTTTACTGCATTACATTTTATTGTCCCTGAAATTAATAATTATATTTCTTTTTCAGTTGTATAGTTGTCTGGCCATTTTATTCCAGAGCTATTTTTCTGGTTGATGCGCTTTTCTCAAAGCTTTCATCATTGTCTTATTTCAGCCCTTTCTGAAGTGTTAGGTCAGAGTTTTCATCTGTTTTGTGTCTGCATTTTTCTGGTATCTTCCTGTCAAAATAGTTTACAGTTCATTTTTTTCTTGTAATACCTTATGTGTGGCGAGATCACATTCTCTTCCTCTTTTCCAAAATTTAAATGAAATGTGTTAACCCTGACTGCTGGAAGGACATTTCTGAGGACAAGGGAATGGCCTAGGGTACCTTTCCCAGCTTCACAGCTCAGGGCTCCCTCTTTGTTACCGTGAAGGGTCAAGAAATAACCAAACATGGTTATTTCTCTGCCTCTCAGGGCTAAGGCTACTTCAGAAAAGTCTGCTCTATTTCCCATTGGCCTACAGGTCTTGCCTGCCAAGGTAAGAACCTTTGATGTTATATTTTGCTGTTACAGTTGTTTCTGGGTTTTGCTTCCTCTGGGACCTTTCCCTGCTCCCTATTTGAACCTTCTCTTCTCCTTACTCCTACTGTTATTTCCCTGCTCGATTTGGTTTCTCAACCTAGCGGGTTTTTTGTTTTGTTTTGAGGCAAGGTTTGTCCTTCTGAAGGAAATAGTTGCTGGGTGTTTCTGGAATCCTCAGGGCGTAGATGACCATAACAGCAGCTGATCACTGGGTGCCAAAGTGCCTCTGTTGCAGCTTTGCACTCACCAACTCAGAACACGTGATGAGTTCTTCCAGTTTTGCTGGAAGAAACCTCCTTTTGAAAGGAGGTAGCAGTTCTCTTTAGACTTGTTTGTCCTGTTTGGTACAAAGATAAACGATGGTTTGGGACGGGATGGTGTCAATGAAGATGCCAAGAACTGGACAATAGGAGAGAGAATTTGATGACATAACCAGGAGGAATTGCTGATGGGTCTGATGTAGGAGAGGAAGGGTTGAACAATTTAATTGGTGTTGTTATTCACAGAGATGGGGAAATTGGGCGGGGAGGAGGTGGGAGGAATGACTGGTGATGAGGGAAGCAAGTACTCCTGAGTTTCTAATATTAACAAGTGTAGTTGGATATGAGTCTAGAACTCAGGGAGAAGATTTAGTCTAGAAATAGAAATTTAGAGGTCATCAGCTGTCTTAGACAGTTTAGGCTGCTATAACAAATTACCATAGGCCAGGTGGCTGAGCTAGCTCTCTGGCCTCTTCTTAAAAAGGCATTAATCTCACTCATGAAGGCTCTCTCCTCATGACCTAATTACCTCCTAAAGACCACACCTCCATATACCATGACATTGGGGATTAGATTCCAACATACGAATCTGGGGGGTTGGGAATATGTAATCTACAACAACAAACAGGTAAATTAAAGCCATGGGCCTGGATAAGATCACTTAGGATGTGAGATTACAAAGTGGTGGCCTAGGACTGGTCCCTGATACACCATATATGATGATGCATTCAGAGGTAGGTGGGGGGAGGAGAAACCAGGAAAGGAGCCCATGAGATGGAGGAGCTATGGAGGTAAGGAACATCGGGAGAATGTGGTGCCATGAAGGCTGAGGGAAGAGCATTTCAAGGAAGAGGGACTGACAAACCGGCTGGGAGTTGCTAGAGGCTGAACTGAATCTGAATAAAAAATATCCATTGGATTTAACGTCGAGGCCATTGGAGACCTTGACTGTAAAGAATAGCTTCAGAGAAGCAGTAGGGACAGAAAATTAGATGGAAGAGGGGAAGGAGAGAATGAGAGGTGAGAAAGTGTAGATAGCTGGTGTAGGCAAGTTTTGATGTCAAGGAGAAAGGAGGTAGCTGAAAAAGGATATGGGGGTCAAGGGAGTTTTTGTTTTTTGTAGAGGGGAAACAGAAGCATGTTTGCATACTAATGGAATAATCCAGTAGAGGAGGAGAGATTCATGCTGCAGGAGAGATGAAGACCTTGAGAAGGCGAAAGGAGGTAGGATCCAGCACATGAGGGGAGACTTGTCTTTAATAAGAGCAGGGACACCTTTGTTGTAACAGGAGGGAAGATGGAGAACACAGTTCTTGAGGGAAGTTTATAAATCTGGTGGAACAGCCATGAGTTAAGGCCCCTTCTGAGGGCTTCTATTTTCTCACTGGAGTGTGAGGTGAAGTCATGAGCTGAGAAAGGAGGCCTATATGGAATGCGCGAGGAAGGGCAAGATTTGAGGAGAAAGGAGAATATAAAAGTGGTATCTTTGAGTGGGAAACTTAGTATGGAAACTCGATTGATTGGAGGTTTGTGGTCATTAGTTTAAAATAAAATGGGTCATCTGCCTTCTCTCCCTCCTTCCTCCCCTCCCTTCCTTCCTTCTTTGCTATTTGGGGCCCAGGGCGGTAGAGGCTAGGTGATGTGACGCAGAGAAGGGTCAGGGCTGAGTAAGGCAGCAGCTCAGCAACGGTAGGGAGACTGGTTATATGCAAGAGGATGGGTGGGAGGGAATAGATATATTTATGTATTTTATTTATATATCTTTTAGCATATAAGTTAAAAACGCTTTTGGTAGAATAACTAACTAAAAATGCTTTTAGCAAAATAATCCTAAAGTTAAAATATTAAAATAGATATGTAAGCACTCACATTCACATTGTGAGTGCAGAGAATTTTCATATCACAGAATCTTATTATCCAAGGCATTTTAGAGGCCAATCCTAATCATATTAGATAATGAGGAAAATGAAGTTAAGTGACTCCCCCCAAGTCACATAACAACTTGATGGCATAGCTGAGACTAGAATTTTGGGATTCAGATTCCCAGGCCATAGTTCTTTCTACAAGATATTGATGCTCTAATACTTCATATGCTTATCATTCATTATCAGAATGAAAACATTGGTTAGGAAAGAATAATCTGCTAGCAGTTTATTTCTTATAAATTCCTCTCTCTTCAATTTCAGCTATTTGGAAAAATTGTGGTCATTAAAAGAGTTCTATCCTAAAAAGTGGGTTTAAATATGAATAAACAAGGTATAGTAAAGAATTTTTACAACTGTAAAGTGTGACCTTGCCTCTTAAGTACAAACTGCTCAGTTATTTCTCTTCCAAAAGAAAATCATTGTTGAATGGGAACAGATCACTGACGCAGAACAACAAAATGCAGAAATTAGAACACTTTATTATAAATATTTCCAGAATATAAACTGATTTTGCATCAAAACTCTTTGAAACTTTTAAAACTGTATGTAACCTTAGCTTGTTATTATTATAATGTATTTCATTCTCCACCTTCCAATCTAGAAAATACACTGCAAGTTAGATCTAAAAAGGAAAAAAAAATCAGTCTAAATTGTGTCATAGAGAAAACTAATGAATATAAAAATACCCCACCCAAAACTAAAACAAACCCAATCAAGAAATAGATTCTGCAAAGCCTATTAATACTCCAATTTAAAATAAATGACCTCCCAAGGGAAAAATACTTCTACCATCCCAGCAATTTGATGAGTAAAAGCAGAGCCACTGTCATTAAGGGAAATTACATTATATAAGAATGTAAGGATGCTTTTAGAAAATGAGGAAAAGTAATTTCCATGTTGGAGAGTAAGCGTATTAAATACTTTGTGTTCACTTGGCCTGTTGTTAGAAGTTGCAGTACCTGTTCACAGGAAAGAACCGATATGAACGTGAACGTCAGAAAACCAGGCCCCTCAACTATTCTTTCAATTTAACCTCAGGAGAACCAACTCAAGAGCTTCAAAATCCAAGGATAGACTGGTCCCAAAGCATTTCCTCCTCTGTTCTCTCTTTACCTTGTTCCTTTTTCTCTTTTCTACGCTTACGTTCCTCTTTCTTAGAGGCTCCATCTCGGCTTTTTTTCTCCTTTCGATTCTTAAGCTTTTCTGTACTGACCCTGACTGTTTCCATCTGTGTTTTGTTTCTTTGGAAGTTCTTGTGTTTATCTAAATCTGTTTCCTCGCAACCTTTTTTTCTCTTATGCTTGGGCCGCTCCTCCTCTGGTTTTTCTCCTTCCTCCGGGTGTCTTTTCCCCTTCTGATGTAGCTGTTTATGACTGGCTGGATGGCCACCGGCACTGTTTTCTGAGGAGAGGCGCTTGTGAACTCCAGATTCTACACTGTATGAGCTACAGTTAGACTCTCGCTGACTAAGGTTCAGGGGTTCTGGTTTTTCTGAGAAACAGTCCCTGGTGAATTGACAGTAGCTCAGGGAGTCTAGTCTTAGTCTGCTGTCATAAGCTGGTAGCCACTGAGGTAACCGGTTTTCTACTTTTTGTGAACTAGGGCATGATCTTGGGTAGGTCTGCCCAGTTTCAGATGAGAGTATTTGATCAAACATTCTATACCTTGGTCGGTAATCAAGCTCTTCTCTGTATCCACAGGTTTCCAAACAATTGTCTCTCATCTTTCTGAAACAAGTCTTTGGCTCTAAGCCTCTGGCTTTCTGCACTTTGATATAATCTTCAAGTTCATCTTGAAAAGAGTCATATGTCTTCTTTGAATGCTTCATTAGGTTGACAACAAGGGATTCTCTGTAGAGAAGATAGGAGAAAAGTCTTACTAGATCATTTTATTCTGAGTATTTCCTTTGCTCTTGAAGAGAGCTTCCAAAAAACAAAGAAGCCCAAACAAATTAAAACCTAATTCAGCATAAAAGTTAAATACCATGACATTGTATGTCAAAAAGGTACATGAGGATAGTCAAATATCTCCCAGGCCACTCACAAGTAGCTTTATCTTTCTCAGAAGTGGGATGAAGAGGGCAGAAAGGAGATGGAATATAAGGTTCTGTTGTATGGCTGAAAATGTAAGACATAGGGATGTGTGGATAAGGACTATACATCCCTGATAAGTGGCCTGATAAAATGCTCATATATTTTCTAAAGTTCTGATTTAACCAGTTTCTTGTATATTGTTTTCTAAGAGAAGTAATAGAGCCATAGAGAAGTAATTTAATTTTTAAACTCATCAGTTTACTCAAACAAAATAAAATAAACATACATACTTACTTGACTAGAGTACTGTAAGACTTAATAAAAGGATGTTTACAAAATGGTTTGGGAATGCTGGAAATTAGAAATTCAGCTATGAGATGAACCTACTCTTTTGTATAAGGCATGAGAGAAGATGAGGGAACAGAGTTCTGTACCTTCTGTATAGGGCTTGAATTTCATTCTGTTACTTCTGATTGGTGAAAAAAGCATTCTAGAATGTCTTTTGGTTTGTTCTCTATTAAAGTACTGGTGGGAGGGTTAAGGGAGGAAATGGAGGTGAAAGCTGAGAGGGGCTCAGACTGATGCAGAGAAAAGTTTCAGAAGAAATATAAAGCAGATACACTAGTTTTTTGTTGGCTTGTTTGATTCTTTTGGTGGGGGTAGCACCATTCCTGATTTATTTCTTTCCCCTCCCTCAAATCCTGCATACGTGCAAATATCTTACTACAAGATGATAATGCCTTAGATATTTTTGGTGACATACTCTGTCTCCAAAAATCAGGAGGCTGCATACCCCATGTAGAAATCAGGAGGCTGCATAATCCATGTAGAACAGAACATTTCTTCCCTTTAACAGAAAGAAATAAGCCAATAGCAGTCTAGAGTCACTAAGGATCCGCTATTTTTTCTGGAAATTTGAGATTAAAAATAATGTCTAAATTAAGCCTTGTTTGGTGAGTCAGAAAATTTAGCTCCTATTCAACTTAAATAGTATAAAATTCTAACTAGAATAAAATACTGTAACAAACATTTGATGAAATATAGGCAAAGATTTGAACAGACACTTCAGAAAAGAATATATACAAATGGCCAATGAACACATGAAAAGGTACCATTAGTCATCAAGTCAATGTCCATTAAAACCACAATGAGACACCAGTATGAGCACTCACTAGAATGACTGAGATCAAGAGAATGACATTATCAGTGTTGTTGGTGAGCATGTGGAACAACTAGAATTCTCATACATTGCTGGTTAGCGATGTAAAATGGTACAACCACTAACACACAGTTTGGTAGTTTCTGAGGAAGTTAAACATACGCTTACTGTACGATCTAGTTATTCCATTCCTAGATACTGCCCCCAAAAGAAAAGAAAGTATATGTCCATACAAGGACTGATATATGAATGTTCATAGCAATGTTATTTGTAATAGCCCCAGAAAGGAAAAACCAAAATGATGATCAGCAGGTAAATGGAACAATCAAACAGTGGTATATCCATACAATGAAATACTAGCAGTGATCAAAAGGAATGAACCATTGAAACAGTCAACAATATGGATGAAACTCAAAATATGCTGAGTGAAAGAAGCCTGACAAAAGAGTACATAATATATGATTCCATTAAATAAAACTCTAGAAAATGCAAACTCATCTATAGTAACAGTGTTTGCTTGGGGATGAGGCAGGGAGCAGTGGGCGGGATGATTACAAAGGGTACTTTTTGGGGTCTGGATATATGGTTACTATATTGATCATTTGATGGTATATACATCTGTCAAAACCCATCAAATTGTGTATTTTAAGTATGTACAGTTTATTATATGTTAACTATACCTCTGTAAAGCTGTTTTTACAAAGTCACTAACGAGATTAAAAAGACGTTGATAACTGTTGAAACTGGATGATGGGTATATGAAGGTTCACTATACTATTTTCTCTACTTTTATGTTTAAAAATTTTTGATACTTCATACCCACACAGATGGCTATAATAAAAAAAGGTAGATGATATTAAGTGTTGACAAGGATATGGAAAAACTAGTAACTTCATTCATTGCTTGTGGGGATATAAAATGTGCAGCTATTTTGAAAAACAGTCTGGACTTCCAGCCCTGTGCCCACAGTTCTGAGCCTACCCGGAGCCAGGTAGATGGTCACCATGAAGTTCAATCCCTTCCTGACCTCAGATGGCAGCAAAAACCCCAAATGCCACTTCAGTGTCCCCTTGCACATGCACAGGATGATCATGTCTTCCCCACTCTCCAAGGACCTGTGGGAAAAGTACAACATCTGCTACATGCCCATCCGCAGGGATGATGAGGTCCAGGTGTTTTGAGGACACTATAAATGTCAATAAATCAGCAAGGTTGTCCAGGTGTTAGAAAGAAATAGGTCACCTACATCAAGCGGGTACAATGTGAGAAGGCTAATGGCACAACTGTCCATGTGGACATTCACTCGAGCAAGGTGGTTATCACCAGGCTAAAACTGGACAAAGATCTGAAAAAAATTCTTGAATGCAAAGCCAAATCTCAACAAGGTGGAAAAGAGAAAGGCAAATATAAGGAAGAACTTATTGAGAAAAAGGCAGGAATGAATATAATCTGTTGTGCAACCATAGCCTTAACTGTAGATTTTTAGCCTGGTTATGTATTCCTTTGAAATCTCTCAAAGTGTCTCCTGAATATTTCATTTCCTTCCTGTTTTGTTATTGATATGTGGCTCTGTGAATCTACTTTTGCTGTTTTGATTAATAATTTTATGAATAACCACTGGAAACATTTTCTAATTAAAAAGAAAAAAGAAAAACAGTAATGGCAATTCCTCAAAACATTAAACACAGTGTTACCTTATGACCCAGCAATTTCACTCCTAGGTATACACCCGAGAGAACTGAAAACCTATGTTCACACAAAAATTTGAACACAAATGTTCACAGCAGCAATATTCATTAACAGCTAAAAAGTAGAAACAACTCAATGTCCATTAATTGCTGAATGGATAAACAGGGTGCAGTATATTCATACAATGGAATATTACTCAGCAATAAAAAGGAATGAAGTGCTGATACATGGTACAACATGGATGAACCCTGAAGGCATGCTAAGTGAGAAAAGTCAGTCCCCACAGTCCACAGATCATGCAGAGATCAATAAAGAGGTGAATGGAAACTTACCCTTCTCAGGCTGAGAACTTGGTGAAGAAATCTGATCATAGTCACCCATTAATTTCTTCAGTTTTCTAGCATGAGCTTTCTCTACATGGTGAGACTGCGCAACAACCGGGGAGCTAAAACACACGATGCAGAGATCCCCAAATCGATTTTGTCTAATACTCTATTCCCAGTCATCTGAAACCAAGTGAAATCTTGTTATAAAGATTAAATAGTTCAAAGTTTAGAATTATACCATCAACATAGATTCATCATCTGAAAATTCACAAATCCATCTCCAATTTCTTATCATTTTACTTCCTGTAAGTCTGAAAGTTAGGCTAACTCTTTGAGCATATATTTTACCCCGGAAAAATAAATAATATTTTGTTTTAGAACAAAGTAACCTCAAATTCCCACCTCTAAATTTGCAGATAGCATTCATGATTTTTAATATATTTAGTCTGAACTAAGAGTTTAAGAATAGAGTTTTGCTTGCTTTCAAATAAAAGTCAGCTTCGTAGAAATAATCTTATGATCTAGAAGATCTTTATTTTCAACCTACCTCATAATGTGAAAACCTTTGCAATTCAAACTATATCCCCACTCCCCATACTCCTTTTACAAAGGGTAACTATAAAAGTTCAATATTTGTTCATTCAACATGGTATCTATGAATAAAATAAAGGGAGGTAAGATAGAAGATCATATTAAACATTTAAGGTAATATTTTCAATCTTTAAATAGATATCATTTCATATACCATCTCATATTTTAATTTCCTGAGTGCCTGCAAGGCTATCTACTAGCTTTTTGCTAATTAGAATGAAATTTCAGTATGAAAACATTTAGTAAGTCTCTAGTCTTTACTTTGGTAATATATGTTTATTTAGTTCAGAAAATACCATTCTGAAAGAGAAGTTACTGGGTCACCAGTAGGAGTCTGGACTTTATTGAAAGATTGGGCTAAGAAATCTGGCCTTGGCATTTTTGTGTTTTATAGCAGACAATTTCAAAACATGCAGTTTATTTTAAGATAGTCTCTGATTCTAGCTATACCCCTAATGTTATCTGGAAATCACCTAGAGGAACCACAAACCATCTTTACCTGTGGCAGGCAACAGTCCTCCACAGTTGGTACAAACATGATCACAAGCAAGGCTCACTAGACAAGGCTCAGATAAGCCACTCAAAACTATAGTCATATTCACATATTAATTTCCAGAACTTTTGTTCAAAGTATTTCTCACCAGAATAAATAATCTACACCAAAATGACCACATTTACGCTTGAGGTCCATATTACTATCTAAAAGTTCCTAACAGTTGAAATTTATTTTATGGAAATTCACTAGTTTATAAAAATGATACCACTCATGGAACATCAAAATTGTACTTCCTATGCAGCCATTTAAATGAATGAGTTGGAACTACATGTACTGTTGTGGAGAAATGTCCATGATACATTAAGGGGAAAAAATGATGTAGAAGTCTATCTACCTATTTACCTATCTGTTGATCAATCTAAAATCCAATTTTAGTGTAAAAACACTTAACATACAGAACCAAAAACCTAAATATATTCATATACGTTTATTGTAAGGGGGAGTTAAAGGAGCTGGCCTGCAACCCATTTACTTCCTTTCCTGGGGCGGGGGGAGAGGGAAGAAGGTAGGTGACTTCTGGACCTCTGACTAAAGAGACCAGTGATATTAGCTAGGAGAAAGGGAACTTATTTTTGACATGCCTTTAGCAGGATGTCCCTGGCTAAGGATTATCTGTAGTAAATAAATTCAGGATCTATGAGGCATAGCTCTCTGAAGAATGTCACATAAACTAGAGGTATAAAATGGAGATGGTTCATAATTTAAATACTCCCACTGAGAGAGGTGACCCTCACTTAGAAACCTCATCTATTATTTTGGGTCAGAGATGCATGACCAACATAGGAAAACATGGTTTGAGGAGCCATCTTTCATGTCCTAGATATCTCTGCTTCTTTGGAGTTGCGTGATCGATTGTATCCTTGAAATACTTAGTAAACTTGATACTAGGTAATATTACTGATTTGTGTTAGTATGATTTGACAGTCTGATCTTGTATATTGCAATATCCATAGGAAAAAATCAGAAAAGATATACACTAAACTTAATGGGTCTTGGGAAATGGGCTTAGGAAAGGTGTAATAGACAATATTTAACATTTTGCTCTCTGCACATGTCTATATTGTTTTAATTTCTGCAAAAAGCATTACTTTGTAATTTAAAACTCCATAAAAATTTGATTTAAAGATTCTACAGGGTATCTTCAAATTAGGCTTAATTTTCAGTACCAATATGTAGATTAAAAAGGTTTGCTTAAAAAATATTATGAGTTTCGGATGCCTGGGTGGTTCAGTCGTTTAAGTGTGTCTGCCTTTGGCTCAGGCCATGATCCCAGGTTCCTGGGATGGAGCCCTGTGTCAGGCTCCCTGCTCAGAGGGGAGCCTGCTTCTCCCTCTCCCTCTACCCATCCCCACTCACTGCTCGCGTGCTCTCTCTCAAATAAACAAATAAAATCTTGAAAAAAATATTATGAGTTTAAGAACTGTAAACATTTTTAAAAGGATGATGAATATTTAAAATATTTATTATATATAATCTCTCTCTAAATTATTTCTGAATTGTTGTAAGGTATATAACTTAATTACATATGACTCCAAAGTTAAAATGAAGAGCAAGCTATAAAATAGGAGAAAATATTCCCATCTCACATATCAGACCAAGGACTTATATCTAGAATATGTAAAGAACTCTTATGACTCAATAAGACAAATACAAATTAAAATGGGCAAAAGATTTGAACAGAAACCTCAAAAAATAATTTATATATATAAATATGACTTGAAACCCTACATCATCACTGGAAGTCATTAAAATTAATAGGACTGAAAATACCAAATGTTGGTAAGGATGGTGAACAACTGGAATTCTCATCATTACTAGTTAGAATTTAAAATGGTACAACTTTACAAAGCAGTTTGATAATTTCTTTAAACATTAAACATCTAACCACATAACCCAGCCATTTCACTTGTATTAGTCCAAGAGAAATGAAAACATACATCCATGCAAAGACCTGTACATGAATGTTCCTAGCAGATTTATTTGTAATAGCCCAAAACTGAAACAACCTTCATGTCTGCCAGTAGACTAATGGATAAACAAAACATGGTATATCTATACAATATAATTATTCAGCAACAAAAAGAAGCAAAATAGCAATATATACATAACATGGATGAATCTCAAAATCATGCTTAGTGCAAGACACAGGAGTAGCTACTGTATGATTCTATATTTGTAAAAAGTTCTAGACATATAAACTAATCTATAGTGATAGAAAGCACATTAGTGGTTGTTGGGGACAGGGGTAGAAGGTGGGATGGATTATAAAGAGGCCTGAGAAAACTTTAGGTGTTGACAGAAATATTTGGCATTTTGTTTACAATGGTTGCATGGGAGTATACACCTGTCAAAAACTCATTGCCTTGTACATTTCAAATATGTGTATATTTTAAGTAAAGTATATCTCAATAAAGTGTACCAGAGGAGCTTAAAGATCTGTAACAGATGTTTTGGAAAAAGGAGTAATTTTGCCTTAATTTGTTAAACTGGATTTTTAAATGTTGGCTTTGTTTCCAGAAAAATTATTCACCTAACAAAGGCCAATTCACCTATGCAGAACTACTGCCAGTCCTATTATGTCACTTACCTCATTCCTCTTACGAGCCAGACGTAGGGACTCTGGAGTCAGTTCTGGCACTTAATTAGCTGTGTAAGCTTGGTTAAATTCTCAACCTCTCTGTGCCTTAAGTTCCTCATCTCTAAAATAGGGATATGATCTACACCTCAAAGAGCTATTGTGAGCCTTAAGGAAATGAATACATGTAAAATGCTTAGAAGAGTATATGGCACATGGTCTAAGTGCTGAATGAATGAGCTACTTTTATTGTTATTCAGGATTTCATCTATTTAACTGACATCGTGAAATGTTCTCCCAACCAATTCTAGTAACTACAGAAAGCCAAATAAAGGAAAGATTATGTGTAAACAGAGCAAGAGTACCTGTCAGGAGTACATAATTTTTATTTCAAGCTAACTCATGTTTCAGAGGGACTTTTTTAAAAATGAAAACTTAGGGGGCACCTGGGTGGCTCGGTCGGTTAAGCGTCTGACTCTTGATTTCAGCTCAGGTCATAATTTTGGGGTCATGAGATCGAGCTCTGAGTCAGGCTCCCAGCTGCTTGGGATTGTTTCTCTTTTTTTTTAATTTTTTTTATTTTTCAGACTCCCTGCTGAGCAGGGAGCCCGATGTGGGACTCGATCCCAGGACTCTGGGATCATGACCTGAGCCGAAGGCAGTTGCTTAACCATCTGAGCCACCCAGGCGCCCCTTTTCCTCTGCTCCTCCCCCTGCTCTCTCTCTTAAAATAGATACATTTTTATTTTTTCAAAAAGATTTTATTTATTTGAGAGAGAGAGAGGGAGCCTGTGAGAGAGAGCACAAGCAGGGGTAGGGGAAGAGGGAGAAGGAAGCAGAGTCTCCACTGAGCAGGGAGGCTGTCTGGGGCTTGATCCCAGGACCCTGGGATCATGACCTGAGCTGAAAGCAGATGCTTCACCAACTGAGCCACCCAGGCACCCCTAAAATAAATAAATCTTTAAAAATAATAATAAAAATGAAAGCTGAAGATTAGACTTGATCATTGTCTTTTGTGATTGCTCTGATTTTGAACCAATTCTTTGAAGATTTCAGTTCATATTGTGTTAATGTGTGCCATGTATAATACCCAAAAGAGTATGGAGTATCAAGCAGAGACACCCAGGACACTAGCTAATTTTACTATTTATAGGCTGTATTAGGTCCCAAGCAAGAAATAGTTTGTCTTGACTGAAACTCATCTGGAGTATTTTTTTGAGATGTACCTTCTAATATTTTTGGAACAAATCTAGCAAAATTCTGAAAACTTGAGTTCCTATTTATACCGCAAGCCTAGTTATAGAGGAACACCCACATTGTTCATTTACTTCCCCCCCCTTTTTTTTCATTTACTTTTAGGAAAGATATAGTGAAAAGAGCAAGAATATAGAATCTTT